TCTGATCACACTGGGCATGCACTTTAGTGAAAAGTGTAAACGGAATTTGGGCAAAGTATATCCAGATACAATCCAGACACAAAGCACAATTAATGCAAGGTGTAAACAGACTCATAGTGTTTTATGGGTCCACTGTTTTGGCAGGGTTAGTTGGTCTAGGCTGGTTTAGAATAGTTGAATGAATATTCCTTTTCTACTTTCCTAGATTTTGCCTGATCTGCAGCCCATGCACCCAGTACATGTGTTGGCAGAGCTGATTAGCACATGATCTACATGGCTACCAGATTAAAGTTCAGAGCAAAATCAAGGAAAGCAGACAGAAAATGTTTCATTCAGCTATTCAGACACAGCTCTAGCTCTACAGCACATAGGAAGCTTTGCAGTGAGTGTGCTGATATACATCAGGCCCATTTTATGCTCTGATTGTATAGATTTACCCTGCTAGAAAAACAAGCAAGGCTGACCACCAGCAAAACCAGCATTTGTTGTGTTTTGGATGCTGGTATGCTGGTTAACCAGCATGATTATGCTGGTTAACCAGCATACCAGCACCAGACCAGCATTAACCAGGTGGCATGGAATTCATCAGTCTGTGTTGGTTTATTGAGGAAGATACAGAAATAAAACTTTCAATAAAACCATCATTTAGTGAATTTATCATGTTTGTCATCAACTAACTCTTCATAACTTGCTGTTTTCCAGCTAAAAGGTATGAAGTGAAGTAAGTTATGATGTGACTGGGTTAATAATGTTAGCTGAGGTAACAAATAAAGTCTGTTTATCTCAAAGACTTTAGATTAACTGCCCTTTTGTTGTAAACCTCAAGCCACATGTGATCTTCTACAGTTGTTTGAGGGCTTTAATATAGTGTAGTTCAGTATCATTCGTTCGTATAGACTAGCAGTGTTGGATATAAGGCTGTAATATGAAAATAGCTGAGTGAAGTATGACAGTAACTTAGTACAATGCCAGTAAAATATGTTACTAAATATGAGTTAAATATGCCTTTGAGTGACCTGAAAATTCTAAATGACTCTAAAGAATAGGCACTTAAGCCACACACAGCTTTGAAAAGAGAGAGGTAGCACATCCAGAGCACTCGTTGTTTGGGAGTATGGATCCTTACTATCAATAAGGCAAATACCGTGTCTTAAATCATATTGTCAAGTCTGAGCTTAATGAGCTTAATGAGAAAAGTTATGTGGATGTATTTACAGAAAAGATTTGGGAGTCTACTGACTTCTAGTGTTTGTTAGAAATGTTAGCCTTGTAGCTCCAGTGCTAAACTAAACTGACTACATCTGGAGTAACCAGAAAATTGTGTACATTTGATTTCTCATCAAACCATTCCTTTACAAGTACTGCAGCAGGCAAGGCAAAGTTGAACATGTTTATGCCATTGAAATTATTGTATTAAACTCTAAAGTCACAGTGACTGACTGAGAGCAGAATCATGGTATCAGGACCCTAACTAGCTTAAAGGGGAATTCCACTCAAATTTCAAACATTTTGTGCAATTCCGTCTTTGCGATGTAAACAGTGTCATTCAGAGTGGTTTGATATTAAATGGTCCATTGAAGAGAAACCCACAGACTCTGATTTCTTTACAGTGTTGGTGATAGGTACCAGGGGTTGCCATGTCCACAACACAAATACCTCTATTTTATTTATTGTCTTAAATGACCAGTGAACCGACACGTCTGCTAAGTTTTGCTATGTAATGTTGATGATGGTAAAATAGTGGAAAATATATTATTTCTTTGGGGAATATTTTGCCTTACAATGCCCTGCATGTACCTCTTCACCATGAATTGATTAAAATAATTAGGTTAACAAGACGATAATTTTTTTACCATCAAACAATGTTTCAGGCATCAGGCAGCATATCCATAACCATTTTATGTTAAAACTTTCTGAGAGAGAAAAGCTCTCTGAGAGAGCTTTTAGAGGCATGGGAATGAGAAAATTAAGTTGTGGCCACAATTTAGTAAGGCATGGGAACGAGATCCTCATGTGTGGCCACAACTTAGTAAGGTGTGGGAATGAGAGAATTAAGTCGTGGCCAAGCCTTACTAAGTCATGGCCATAACATAACTCTGTTGTCCCCAAGCTTTACTAAGTCGTGGCCTCGCATTATTTTTATGTCACCAGCGGGGCTCCGAAGGTTTCTATCATCACCACTGTAAACAATTCTGACTGGGTAATTTTCTCTAGAACGGTGCCTTTCACACCATACCCACTCTGAACGACTGTTTACATCTTAACCTTTCAATGACGTGGAACTTTTGAAAAATTGGTGGAGCTCCCCTTTAAAGAAGAGCTCTGACGCGTGCAAGTTTTCTCCAGAAAGTTCACTGAGGACGCGTGCTGAAGTAAACAGCCCCTCTCTGACAGACACAACAATCAACTCCGACCCGAATCAAAGGCGGGCGCTCCAGTGTGTGTTCGCGCATACAAATCCAAATTCCCGCTGGTTTTACGCTGTGACCCTGAAGCGTATCCTCCCTCAGCCGGGGGGCTATCTGGGGGATGTGTGAAATGTGATTAGCGCGCGTGGATTTCTAATTAATCTGGCCTCGCTCGAGTCAGTTCAGGGAAGTGCCCGTAATTGGCGTTCAGGCTTTTGGGAGGTGCGCGTGCACCGGCTCGCAGCGCGCGTTCTCGTGGCGCGCCGTAATTACTGCCGAGCTGGCGGAGTGCCTGCGGGGGCGCGCATCGGGGGCGCGTCTCCCTGAGCGCGTCCCCTTACTCAGGCGCCTTTGGGGAAGGGGCTGGTCTGCATGCATGAGCGCGCGCTGGGATAATTAGCCCGCGATGCCGGAAGATCCCCAGGGGGGGCTCGCGCCTCTCCACGCGCACTGTGGCCGTAAACACCTCGCAGAGGAGGCGCTCATGTGCAATACGGCCTCTCACACATAAAGACACACAACACACACATGATCAGCACACACACGTGAACAAAACATGTAAACACACGACTTTGTGCTGCATTTGTGGGGTTTTTCTCTTTAATTATCTCAAGAGGAAGCTACACTTTTTTTTAGAACAAGGGCTTTTCCTTATTGGTGCTAACCAACTGTTCCCACAACGTCATGTTTTTCAGCTGGAGATATTAGGTCCTCACAAAGAGCTAAATGCTCGGCCACAGCATGCACACACATGATTGTATTCCTGTCTTTGTAGCACATTTCCATTGACTCATCTCAGTAAAGTCTGCGATGGACTGGCGACCTGTCCAGGGTGTATCCTGCCTTCCGCCCGATGACAGCTCTGAAGAAATCCACAGGTGTTTCTGTTTATCTTTTCACTGTGAGAACTCAACACTGTGAGTCTGAAAGGATGTGCAGCGGTCAAGAAGGCAATGCTGAGAAAAGGAAATAGACAAAAAAGAACATTCGCACTAGAAGCAGAGAAACTGAGATGTGGATTAAAATATTATGGACTGATGAGTCTACGTTTGTGATTCAGATTGAAGTAAAAAAAGGCAACCAACTTCTAAGACTGACCTTTGAAGGTGTGGAAAAATATCCCTGCAGATTTCTGTGAAAAAATGAAAACAAGTCTCCTAAAAAGAATGGCAACTGTAATAAAAGCAAAAAGTGGACACACTAAATAATGAAAATGTTGATATTAAATTCAGTTGTTGGGGCTTCTGGGCAATTTTCTGTTAAATATATTTTCTGCTTTTATCTCCTGACACTGAAAAATGAATAACTTACTTAATGGCTGTTTTGACTGGAAAAGGTGGTCTCTGACATTTGTGTGATACTGTAGCTAAAAGCCTAAACCTTAAACCCAGCAACCAAAAGAAATGTTTTAGGCTCTTTTACTCTTTGAAATAACTTATTCCTTTTTGTATTAAAAATGAGCAAAATGATGTTCCCACATCGTCAGGGTCTCCCTCTACATCCTGTGAGCATTTGGTGCACATAAATAGCAAAATACATTACATTGACAGAATTTACATATGCAATATTGCAGTATTTTACAGGAGCCGACAGAAATTAAATGTGTAATAATGACTGCCAACACAATTAAAGCAGTGTACAGTGAGCTCTGATGGAGTTACATCATTGCCCTTGAGCTCCCACTTAAACAAACAGGCCACAGCACAGCAACGCCTCATGCTGCACATTACTCACACATGCTGCCCTGCGCTTCTAGTCTATAAGCGGCAGCGCGCTCAGCACTTCCACACAGTCAGTACAGCAGTGTTGAAAACATACAGTGTGATAAGCTCGAAGAACGGATTCGGTTTCCTGCGCGTGCAGCCACGCTCTCCTGTCTCTGAGCTTCAGATATCATTTACATAATTAACAAGGCGCTCAGTCTCAGAGTTAAAGGGTCCATACTCCACATTTTCCTTCATGTTTTATCTTTTTCCTCTCAGGTCCTCTTATTATATTTCTGAGAGTTTATGTACCAAAAAAGTCCAAGTTCATTTCAATATGACCATTTTACAGCCTCTTTAGCCTTAAATTAAACTGGCTGTTCTTCCTACTGTGCCTTTAAGACTGATATGTAAATGAGCTGTGATCTGATTGGCCGACCTGTGCTGTGCTTCGTTCAAAAAGTACTCCAGGCTAAAACACTCCTTGTTAACTTATAGCTCGAATGGGCGGGGCAAAACCTGTGTATGTTAAATATGCAGATATTTATGTAAATACCTCGGTTTTCGTGACATCATAAATACAGAGAATTCAAAACAGGTCGTTTTCAGCTTAAATTCCATATATGGACTGGAAACTTTAACAATGTACGTACAATATCAGTCAAAAATCTTATTTAAAAGAAGTGATGATTTAATTTTCCACGGTCTGGGACATTTAAAGTCCGGCTGAAGTGCAGCAGGAACAGGAGGGATGGCTCCGGCTGTGAGGAGAGACAGAAGGGGGCAGTTTAACACCATCAGAGCTTCAGCGCCCCCAGCAGGCCCGCAGAGGAAGCGCAGCCTCGCCGCTTCTTTAAAAGCTCCTGCGACGCGCAGGGGGGGGGCTGGACAGCGAACATCGCCGTGTGACAAAGTTCGCCCGGGATTTTCTAGCACATAAGGGGACTCAGAGAGAGAGAGAGAGAAACCGAGAGAGAAGACAGCAAAGGCATGGCTAACAAAGCGCAGCAGCCTCCTTACCTCCACCTGGCCGAGCTCACGGCCTCCCAGTTCCTCGACATCTGGAAGCACTTCGATGCTGACGGTGAGTGAGTGAAGGGAGGGGGGCAAAGTTTTCCAGCTGTGGCACTTTTGGCTAAAGAGGGATGCAGGGAAGCATGTTTGAACAGGAGCTGTTGGTGTATGGCTTTGAGTGAAATGAGATTATTTTTATGATTTTGAGGAGAAACTGTTTTAACTGCTGCGCGAGAACGGAAATCTGTTCAGTTAATATCTCATTGGACCACATTTGTGTCACTTAAACTTAAGTTTACATGTTTTTTTTGTTTGTTTGGATGAGCTTTGGTTCCCGGGAATTTCTTTTCTCTTGCTTGCTGCGATGCTTTAGTGATTAATCAATCTATTTGCATGCTCAAATTGTGATGCAAATGGCATCTGTGTGCTAGTGGTTAATTTGTATTAGACGCATGTATAGATATGATAGGCATAAAGATGGTAAGTATTAATTAAATGAGCTCTAATTCGTCCTTCTCCCTAAATCCTTTCCCCCTTAATTCATTATTGGAGTGCTCTGTATGGTCAAATGGATTATTTACAGTAAAGTGTCTCAAAGCTGTGACCACACAAATCATTTACGCTGGAATAGCTGGATTTGCGGTAATTTATCAAAGTGATTAGAGCCGTGATGTCCCGTCTAAAAGCGCGTGTCCACATAACTGTGAGGCTCTAAGAGCGAGAGTGTGATGGGTCTGTTATATGAGGGGTCTTTGAGCCTTAGGTCTTAGGTTGTTCAGTATGTGAGTTGGAGTGGGGTTTGCTCCACTGTGGGTGTGGTGGAGCTCATTAGTGCAGTTCGGACTCCTGGCTGCGCCTAAACGCACCGGACTGGTTCAGGGACAGACGAATCAGAGCGATGCTTTTACACCACCCGTATTCCGACAAACCACGCCCGCCTGCGCTAGGATTGGCGGACTCTGGTGAGTATGAGTCACCAGCCAGTCGTGGCGCAGGAGGGCGGGGCTTGTCGGAACACAGGCGGAAACAAAACACCAGCGCGCTCGCTTCCCACCGCCCAGTCTGAGCTAAGCATCCGAGAGAAGCGGGCTGGATAGATCTTACTGAAAAAGACGAAGTCACAGATTCAGTGCGTTAGAAATTAAAAAAAAACGGCGTCGTGAGATGGCAACGGTGAGAGACTTGTATAGCCTAGTAAAAACAGTAAAAGTGTTTCAATAATTTATGATTCCCGAAAGAAAAATGCGAGTATCGACAGCTACTTTTGTTTCTTTGCTAGGCTAACGGTCTGGTTCACTTTACAGCGGGCTTTCTGAACCATATGAGTCCAAATGAAACGACATTAGTTGTAACCTATCGCAATTAAACAGTATTTATAATACAGAATGGCAAAATCATTATTTACAAAAAAAAAAAGGAGAGCACATATGAGGTTTAGCAAAACCATGCGCTGTGTGAGGAAAGCGACCAAATTCTCACTTCTAATGTAAAGGGGAAAAAAATGGTGAAAATTGACCGTGACTCTGCCATGATAGACTACAGGGCATAGCCGAAAGCATTTGGATACATATCCAGTTGTTCTTCAAAAAACCTTAATCAGTGAGAAAAGTAGTCTTCCTTTATCTCTTTTTGATAATGGTGACAGTGAAATTCCTCCAATAAAAATTTCATAATATATTCCTGTGTTAACCATGAAATTGTCTTTTTACTGCATTAATTGTAGATGACCTACTGCACCTGAAAACCTCTGTAGCTACAGTTCTAAAAACTGACATAGGCCTGTCAGTTGTACCAATACCTGACATGGATATTTCAATCTGAGATAACGGATCAGACTGAATATGGCTGACAAGGCCAGAAACTACAGCAGAGCCAAGATGGTAGTAGCAACAGCCAGGAGAATGAGGGAAGATGTACAGTCTAAAAAAGTCATAGATGACTATTGAAAACATTATCTGTCAAAATATCATCACTTTCACAATGTAGAAATAAGATCAAACTATTGCAACATTGAACAGATGGTTCAGGAATCGTGAAAGGTTGGTTTAGTCTTTGCTAATTAGAGCCCCTATATTTTCCTCTACATGGGGACATTTTTAAAACACTGAACATGTATAAATCAACTGACCTCCTTGTATTTTTTTGTCCATGTTGACAAGCCACATGTGAATGGGTTAAACCTTAAACACAAGTTTTAGAATTTCTTTTTAATAAGTATCTCCTGCAGAGAATTATGTGTCTTTGTATTACAAAAAAAGAGTCACTTATAATGTTATTATAGTTGCAAATTACACATAATGTAAGGGATTTTGCAAGGAGAAAAACAGCAATCAGTTTCTTCCTGCCCACATCAGTGTATTTAAATAAAATGTAATTAAAGTGTGTGATCTCACTATTCATCAGGATAAACCGATTAAGCGTTCTATATGGCTGACCAGAGTCCAAACTCAACACATAATCAATGTGCTGTTTTTGAGATAATGAAATTTGCGAGCTTAACGGCCAAGACTGCCACGGCGTTAATCGACTGTTCATCATCTTTTGCACAGCAAGCATGCTGAAATGTGCCTCGGCCATGCTGTCTTCTTACTCAGTGTTTGTTATAAATACCAGAAAGAGAGGTATTTCCCCTTGAGAGCTTGATTTTCAGCTGTCTGTAAATGTCATTGTTGTCTGTAAGCAGATTAACTCACAGTCACTAGAGTTTAAAGGCAGACATTTAAACCTTTTGCTTTTGGGAAACATACAGCAGATATGAACCCACATTATTGCAGCCCTCTCTCCTTCAACTCAACCGACACACATGCATATACATACTCACACACACACACAAGCGTTTCCTTTGCACAAAGACCAATTTCCTGGCATGGGAAATTGTCCACAGATGGTGATATCTCATATATTAGAGAAAATTGGGTTGGAATTTCAATAGAGTTCTCTTAAGCATCAAGCTGGAGATCTTCTTTTCGTCTTTTCAAATAAATGGAACTTAAAAGGCATCAGCAATAAGGCCCCCAATTAGAGGCAAAGTGAAAAAGGAGAGTGTTCAAAGCACACTTGGGAGAACAGCCGTCAAGAGTTTTAATTAAGCTCCATAGTTGCCCTGATTTGGGAGCAAGCCAGCAAGCCAGTCCTGAAAGTTAACCAGCTTTATGGCTAGGCAGCCATCCAGCCAAATTAACTACTTTATGTCAATCGTACATTGTCAGCTGATAGTTATGTAGTTACTGTCACATCTTGTAAAACTGTAATGAGAAATGTTTTTGAGCTCCAGCACCAGCGTCAAGTACTCCACCTTTTAAATGCTGATGTAATTTGGATTTCTATTACAGGTAATGGCTACATCGAGGACAAGGAGCTCGAGAACTTCTTCAGAGAGCTGGAGATTGCAAGGAGAGGAGCAGGTGTGGTAAGTAAAAAAAAGTAAAGAGGAGAGTTTTGAATCTTTTTGAATCTTTGAGTCTACAGTTTACAATGATAATTAGCCAATATGAAGACAGACAATTATACACTTTGATGCCAGCTTGTACTACAGTCAGCTCCTAGACATTTAAATGGGGTGCTGATTTTTCATCAGACGTGTGTCCTAATGAGTCCAGAATAAAAGAGACTGACTCTTGTCAAGCTTGAGATCTCCTTTTAATCGAAGCTCTTGCGATATCTCACCAAGGGTCATGGCAATACAACCAATAGCCAGCTAGGACTGCAAGTATTTAACCCTCTGGGGTCTGAGGGCACTTTCTTGTTTTTTGCTTATCATCTTAACTTCGCCTTAAAAGGCAGCTGCATATAACATGATACCCATATGTTTTGTATCAAAATGCTCCGTTATTTTCGTCACTTTCGAACCGTTGCAGCAATTTCAGCAGTTGTAAACTCTTTGCACGCCATTTCACATGTGTCTCCAGTGTTGACTGAATGAAGAATGAAGGGTTTCCAACGTGATGGATAAGTTTTTGGTGAATTTCTGAGCGTCCATTGGTCAGTTTCATACAAAATTCAGACAAACGAATCCACCAAATACACACAGTGACACACTCATCATAGCCTTATAACTCTGGATGTGAGTAACGTACAATCTCGCAATAAGATGGGATGGAAAGGGCGACTCTACAGATTCAGGAAATGTTTGAACTGTGTTTCTGCACTGTATTATCACATAGATAGAGAAACATATCTAGAAACATTGAGTTAGAACCCAGAGGGTTAAAATGTCACCAATTTGTCTAGGAGGGAAGAGGAAAGGATCTCTCTCTGCTAGTATTAAACCAAAGCTCTTTTGGCATGCCTGTGTGTTTCAGGACCCCACAAATGCATCTTTTAGAGAGAAGATGAAAGATTTCATGCAGAAATATGACAAGAACAAAGATGGCAGGATTGAGATGTCAGAGGTAAGAAATGGTGCTGTTCCAAAAACTGAATATGCAGCGAGTGCACTTGACAAGGTCAGACTACAAAATGGCCTTTAAGGGGGCCTTGCTTCGCCGCTTTAATCTTCACACTTGTCATTGTGCTGCAAGAAACAGCTTTCCCAGATAGAGGAGGACGCATGTTGTTTTAGATCCATTCACACACTCGTTCTATGGTGTTTCCATCTATCCTTTTCTCTGTCTTCTCAGCTGGCTCAGATCCTGCCAACGGAAGAGAACTTCTTGCTTTGCTTCAGACAGTTTGTGGGCTCCAGCTCTGAGTTCATGGCGGTAAGGAAGCTGATTCACTTCTATACACTTTTTATAGTTTTGCTCTACTGCTTCACTAAAGTCAGTTCAGGTATTACCACAGAGAAGCTTTAACATCCATTTCTGATGCATTGAGTTGGGGCGGATTTAGTGACTCTGGTGCTCTAAGCAAAAGACAAGAATGGGGCCTCCCTGGATGCACATTTGTAAATTAGTAAGGCTCTGTCTCTTACTAAGGCTGAGTGGCACAACCGCCTGCACTGCAAAAATGATATCTTGGCAAGTGAAATCTTAAATCTAGTCAGTATATCCAATATTTCTCATTTTGAGATTGTTATAAGAATATTGTAAGATTATTTGACTTATTTCTAAACTGTACTTAAGTCATGTAGCACTCTGTTCTGACTGAAAAAAAACTGTTAGTTTCGAGAGTGCAGCGACAAACTTTTGCTTTCGGCCCTCTTTTTGTGTTTCTCTGCTGCACTTGCCTAACTTTATTTGATTTTCCTTCTTAACACCTAGAAAATCATACAGAAGAACTCTCTCGGAAATCTAGATTACTGCTTAATTGTGTTATCAAATAACAACACTGACTAGTCCACTGTAACCACCAGGAGAGGTGCTGCAATGAAATTGCTAAAAACAATCGCTACAATAGCAAGTAACAGCTGTTTTTAAAATGTATATCTATTTCGGAATATGCGATTTAACATCAAGACATACAGAATATCTAATTTGTATTTTCCTAATTTATCTAATTTGTTTGTAATGAGATGTATGAGCTGTGCCACTTCATAGAATCTGTACGTTGTGTCTAGTTTCTTGAATGGTAAAATTGAACAGAGTCACTTTCTTTAGCAAAAGGAAAGGCAACTGAACATGTCTAGTAAGATTATAGTCTGGATTAGACTTTCTTTGTCTAAAAGGGTCTTTAAAGGGTCAAAACCAAAAAACACGTGTCCTCGGGCCATGCCTAGAAAGCTTTTCTCTCTCAAAATAGATACACAAGCAAGAAGACAAATATCTCAGTTATGAATTTTTGCAATGTTTTGTTATAGTATTCTTATAATGTGCTTAAGGAGGGGTGGGTGGCATCACAAAGACAATTTTCACACTACACAACATGCATCACAATATTTAGTTGTTCTGAGCTTTGAGAAGAGGTAAAAAAGAACCTCAAGTGGCACATTTAAAAAATATTACTAGAAACTATGAATACAATGATTTGTATTCAACATTTCATACATGGTGCTGAGCTAAATTCAAAAACTAATTCTGCTCTCTTTGTAATGATTGTAATAACCTGCAGTTGTTCAGTGTTCTTTAAGTACTGCTGATATCCACAATATGCTCAGAAAAGTGTATTCATAAAAAAGATTCCTAAATTCATATTACCCACCCCTACTTATAAGCATTTTAACGATACCTTATATCCTAGGATATATTACATCTTGGAACAGCGTCCAGCGAGTACATTTCTTTAAGCAGTCCTAATCTCATTTTTAAACAGCTTTATTGATTAAAATGCTACATTGTCGCAGGTAGAGCATTTCAAAACACTCAGATTAATACACTTACCTGGAATAAATTGGATCAATCTAGGCCACACTTTAGGCAAATGACTAACAAAATGACAAACTATGAAACACATACTGATCATACTGAATGTTCTGCCAAATGCAGTACAACAAAGGCACACAACTTTATTATTTTCAACTTATCCAGAATTGCCTCCACGTGATTTTGTCTGCTCGGATCTGTGGCATTTTGTATGTGCTCACTTATGCAGTGCTTCTATAATGTTGGGCAAAATCTGTTAAAAAGTGTTTTATCTTAAATATATTCATTCAAATTGAATGAATATATTTTCAAGTAAATTGCAAGTGTATTGCAAGTACAAGGGCTACTTATTAATTTTCAGGAGATATTTCTGAGAAGATTAGATATAAGATAATCCACTTGCATAATTTTCAAAGGAAAATCAGTGAACACATAGGAGTTTCCAAAAGTGGAGTTAAAAACAGTTAGACAGGAAATAGACAAAAAGAAGAAAATTTGCACTAGAAATAGACAAAATGGAAATAGATAAAATGAAGAAAATTTGCACTAGAACACAGAAACTACACATCTGAGATGTGAGTTAAGGTTTGGAGGTGTGGAAAAAAAGACTTCTTTAAAAAAACAACGTCCCTTTTTAGGATTACAGGCATTTTTACACGTCGATCAGCCACCGAAATTCCATATCAGTTATTACAAAATAAATGTTGTATTAACAAACATTTTCTATGCTCAAATGCATATTTAATGTGGCCCTGACTGACAGTAAAAAAAATCATTTATGAACAAAACTGTGAAATCTCACTAGCCCCACAAATATGAAGCTCACATAACACGCAATGATACCCAGCTGGTCACAACCCCCAAAATTCACCCGTTTTTCTGTTTTTGAAAGCAAACCTATCCACATTTAAGTCACAGTATATGAGACAGGAAATCAGAACTTATTGTGTAGGCATCTCACTCTGTAATATTCCACCACAGCAAAAAAAACTGCAGTAACAGTAAAGAGAGATGAGAAAACTTCAAATTGATGTTTCTCATCCTTTGACTTTGATCATAAAGAATGATTGAGACAGGTTTGGTGGTGGAGGGGGGTCGCCCTTCTCGCCATTACATTATGTAAAGCTGGAGAAGGAGTGATTTAAAGGGGGAAAGGGAACTTTTTAATCACCCGGTGCGGTAGGCAAACCTTTTAAAGGGCTGGGATGGAATGAGGAAGTACAAACTTCTATTTTCAGAGTAATACATTATGGATGGGCCGCTGTAATTCTCCACAGACCTGAGAAGACAGGGCATCTATCTTTGATAAGAACCCTTGCTGGAAACAGGACAGCTGCTAGATTAAAACATTAATTAAATTGCATTTTGCGCTCCTTGTCCTCTCACAATGCACACCCGAGCTGAATAGAAAATGGAGACGGATAATGAAAAAGCCAGGATGATTATGGAAACGAAAACTTGATAATTATGACTCCTTTGCACGCTTCCACAGACACCTTTCTTTTTGAATGGATTTCAGAAGAGAGAGAATGTGGATTGCGTTTGCAGATGGCGTTTTCCTACAGATCAGAACATTACTGTAATTTTGCCAGTGAAACGTGAAATTGATGGAATTTGGAATAAAGACTGCAGAGTTAAAGCACTGTACAATGAACTCCTACTGAGTTACATTTGGATCAGAGCTTAGTTTAAGCTTTTAAGGTTTCAAGTTACAAGCTTGGCACTGTAACTGTATGTTATGTAGCATGAGCAAGATTGAAAATTGTGATGTGTCACATAACAGAGCAGTTAAACATGTAATTAGTCATAATTTACTAATTAGCTAATTAAACATGTAATCACAGTCCTTATTTACTTTTATTAAGTGTAAGTCATTTCATGTTGAGAAGTGAAACAAATATGATTTTATTCTTAATTACGTTCATTTATTTTTGCTGTAGTTAATTAGACTAGTATTTCCTCCTATATGTAAAGTTCTAAAAAGTTAAATACAACCAAAAACATGACCAGTGTTTATAATCCGGTTTCAGTAATTGTAGTTCTGCAATTAACCCTATGTTATGTGTACGTGTCTGTTTGTAGGCCTGGCGAAGGTACGATACAGACCGCAGTGGCTACATTGAAGCAAATGAATTGAAGGTAAGCCATATGTCTGCATTTGCACTCATATGGCCTTCAGCATAGTCCCTGCAAGTACTATACTGTGGCTACTCCTAGATGGTGCTCCAGCAGTATGGTCCATCACCAACTGTTCTATTATTAAATAAGAACCAATGGTAACAATAGTGTAGCTTTTGAAAATGGGTGAACCAAGCTCAAGTAGACATTGTACTATTTCATAGCTTGGATATGACTCACAAATCTGGGCTAGATCAGTGTAATGCTCTTGCCCTCTTGCTGGAAAAACAAATGGAAAGCATGCAAATCATGCTGGCCATGGCAACTGCCATCCAAAGGGAATATTCAAATCTCTGCATTGACTCAGAACATACAAATAGAGAAATAATCACCTGCAGGTGGTCAGTTTTCACCAGAGATATGTATAATTTGTACTTTACTAAACACAGCTCTATGTGAAGCATGTGCTTTTCATCCAGACTGTGGTGACCTTGACCCTTTCCTTTTTTTAGGGCTTTCTCTCAGACCTTCTTAAAAAGGCTAACAGACACTATGATGACCAGAAACTGCAGGAATACACACAGACTATTGTAAGTATCTCAGCCCAGACATACCTTTTTACACCGTTACCTTTATATTAACTACAACTGTCATGCAATCTCTTACCCCGATTAGTAATTACATCTTAGTGGCTCATTTAAAAGACTATATTTAATGCTACACACATTTAATGGTCTTTTATGACTTATATTACTCAAGATCCCAACAATTTTAGCTTTTCAAAGAAGAACAGACTGGCTATTAAAAACCAGAAACATGCAGATGACTTTGGATTTTATCTAGCAATAAAATTATATAAACTGCTATTATTCATTGCAGAGCTGTTAACCACCACACTGGTTCAGTGATTAGGGTTTGCACTGTCCTACGGGTGTGTGTTCACACTCCAGCTGTACTGGCATATGTCACCTTCTTAAGGCCAGAGGGCCGACCTGAATTACACTAAGATAAACTGTACAAAACTGCACAGCAACAAAAGCACAAAAATATAACTGATAAAAGTTCAATGAATGCAGAGTAATATTCCACATTTAAGTGTCAGAATAATGTTGTTTTAACACTAAATACTAATACTAGAAAACTAGTGGTGTCATTTATTAGTGTATTAGTGTTGATAACACCACATAGCATCATATTAGCATTATTTTAGTGTGAATGAAGTTCATTTTCTGCTCTGTCGACATGCATATGTAGTAACTGACACGTCTTTTTTTTTACACATTTTGATGAATTTGGTCTGAGAGACAGATAAGATATTACTTTTAAGCACTGAGCAAATAATAGCACACATTGGTTAGAGATTCTTCAATATTTACCACCTATTCATAATGATAAATATCTCTCACTCTCTCAGCTCAAGATGTTTGATCTGAACGGGGATGGAAAGTTGGGTCTCTCTGAGATGGCAAGGTGAGCAATGTTTTAAGAATGCTCCAGTTAATAAGGTAACAGGTAATGCCTAACTTAAGTCTCAAATATGTTTTTCTAATGGGCTGTTACCTCTGCTTCTCATTGTAAGGCTTCTACCAGTTCAGGAAAATTTCTTATTGAAATTCCAGGTGAGAACACAATTTCAACTTGTTGTAAGTTAGACGTAAAGTTGCACTTGTACACCAAACTCTTTTCTAAAGGACAGAATTGTAAATGAAGGACTGTTTGTGCTGTGTTGTAGGGCATCAAACTGACTGCTGAGCAGTTCAACGCCATCTTCACATATTATGACAAGGTAGTGTGCAGCATAAAGTGAATATGAATGTGACATGCAATAACACAGTGTGGAAAGTCTCCCCCGGGCGACAGTCTGGTTTAGCACAGTGGAAGAATCTGCGTTCTCTTGTCTTTCTTTTTTACGTCTGATTTCCCTCACTCCTGCGAATTCCATTTTGCATGCAAATGAGTGGCGTTTCCACTCACCTGAGTAGGTAAATGACTGTGAGGGCTGCACCTGTTCTTGTAGGTTTGGCCCCTTGAGCATACCCATGACATCATTTGTTTAACAATGGCTTTTTGAGTGACATAATTTCAAATGCAAATCAGGAGGGCATGGTAACATTTCCCAACCAACAGAAATTTGTCCTTCTGCAAATCTCAGCAAAACTCATTCATTCATCTTGTTCATCTTATATATCAGCTTATGCATAGTTATATAGTCCATTCCCCTAATAATACTCCCTAATATTTGTGCTACTCCAACAGACCACTCTATAAATTCAAAGTGTTAGGTTTTAAACACTTTTATATAATGCTTTTAATGTTTAATTGTGCTATTACCCTTTTTGAGAGTAAATCGGGGGAAGCTTGACTGTGACATCAAATAGATATCGAGGTTGAATACCTAGAGCTGGGTAGTAAGTAGTTTCATTTACTCGATTACATGTACTCAAGTGCAATTTTGCTAGATTTGTACTTTCCTATGTATTTTCAAATAAAAATAAGTATATGTGTGAAGAAAGTAATTTACACTTTACTTAAGAATAGAGCCTTACAAACTTCAGTTAATGTACAGATAGATGCTAGATGTCCTACAAAATTAATTAGTAACAGTATTTTTTTTTTCCTGCTACTTTTGTGCTTCTACTCAAGTTGTTTTTGGAGGGATACTTTTATCTTTTCTTGAGATATTATTTCTTTGAAGTTACAATATCTTTACTTTTACATGGGCTACTGAACCCAGCTCTGTTAATACCTAAACATTAAAGGATCATTTTTCAGTTCTTTTCTTTAACACTGATGTTTATTTAATTTTCTACGTAAACACTGTAACACACTTAAAAAGTGTTAAAAAAAGGGTTTAAAAAACATTTGGTTTGACAACATAAATTTGTGTTGGAGTCTTCTGGTCTGTTCAGAGGTAGCAAACAAGAACGAAGTAACAAATGCCGAACTGAAAACAGTGCTGAGCAAAGAGAGACTGTAAAATAGAATCTCCTCTTGCGTGCGGAGGCTTGCTATGAGGACTAGTGCAGATACTTAATTATAAATGAAATGTGGTGTGCGTATGTATGAAGTGTGTTGAACGCTAAACATTTCCATGTAGAATTACTGCTGCGTTCCCCTTACCAGCATAGCCCTAGTTCTTCACTCTCATCTACATCAGAGGCAGCTGGAGTTGTCACAGTGGAATTCTGGGTTAAAAAAACATTAATGGCATGATGCACGCCAGGTCAACCGAGCACTAACTCAGTTCACAATGCTCCTACAAAATGTGCCAAGCTTTGGAAAATACAAAAAGTTTGACTGCTTGCAGTGCAAACAAATAGGCTGACCTTCGCCATCACCCAGAAGACTTTGAGGCGCAAAAATAATAAGTACTGCTTCTTCCTTGTGTTTTTATTGAGTTACGACCTCATCCAAGGCCGGTGAAAGAGTACACAGTGAAACAGCAAATCTAGAATCCACAAACAGCGAAGTATTCCCCCAAAGTCTTTACAGTCTTATGTGTCAGGACAATCTGCTCCCTGACATTACTGTGCAGATCAGGCCTAGATGTTGCATTAGCCCTGTCTCACCTGACATCCTGTCGGCAACACAGAGGTTTTGTAATTGTCCCCTTTAACTCATTAAAATCAGCTGCCAGAGTAGTTGTGAAATGTTCATGTCCACATTAAGGGATGCTGAAATGGATCAGCATATGGGATTGGAGCTTACTGTGTGCTACTGTGTTTTCTATCACTATATTAAAGAAACCCTTTGAGTAAGTGTGTACACACTTACAAAACAGAATTCAGATCATTAAGGGCTTATTATGGACTTGTTTGACCTGAGTAATGATAAAGAGCAGCTGAAGTATTAAATATATTAGGAATTTGCTTGCTCAAAATGGCAAACAAACAAAGAGAATCTACAAATGTCCAGCTTTACTTGATTTTGTTTTACATAATCAAAATTATTGCAACAACTCATAAATAATAATAATAATAATAATAACAATAATAATAATAATAATAATAATAATAATAATTTATGTACCAAAATGGTAAGAATTAATTTCCATTGCCATTTTCTGATCTCACAATGTTCCACAGAATGAGACAGTACTATGCCTTTAAGCCTGATATATGTAAATGAACGCTGCCCTATATTGTGTCTCTTTCTGAAAGCATTCTGGGCTGAAACACGCCTTGTAACTTCAGTGTGAATGGGTGGAGCTAAAGTACTTTAGGCTGAATAGATGAATGTGTGTAAATGTGTTGTTTTTTGTGACATCACAAACTGAACACAAAGTGATTTTTAGATTAACTATTTTTGCAGCGTAGTTTCTATATGTAGACTATGTGGACTGGAGAGTAAACAGTATATTCTGAAAGTAACAATATTTTCATACCATATCTACTACACATAATACATACTACATATTAAAAAGTAGTGAAGATATTTTGGTCTTCCATCATATTGTACTTCTAAAGAATACAAGGAGACTAACAGGCAGAAATAGCTGCTTTTGGCCTTGGCATTAAAGGGTTATTGGGTAACCCAGCTTACTTTTCCTTTTTTCAGGATGGAAATGGCTACATTGATGAGCAGGAATTGGATGCCCTCTTGAGGGACCTCTATGAGAAGAACAAAAAGGTGAGAGAGGAAACCAAGAATGTGGAGGTAATAATAAACTGAATTTGATGCTCCTTTTAAATTATATCATGATGACCTGCTTTGTCTCAGGAGGTGGACACTAAGGACCTAACCGGATATAAGAAGAGCATCATGGCCTTGTCAGATGGGGGTAAACTGTACCGCTCGGAGCTGGAGATTGTGCTGTGCCGGGAGCCTATGCTGTGAATCTAGACCTGCCTGGATTTCATCTCACCTCTCTCAGCTGCCTGACTACTGTAACCATGTGCATGTGCCGGGCACCCCTCCCCTTTTCCCTTTACATGCGTTTTGAATGAATGTGCACTGCAAAGCACAAAAAACCTGCCCCTCCTGCCCCCTGTCCACCTGCCCAATCCACACTGTCCTAAGTACAGACCGTTCCAGCTACGGTGTTGCCCTCTGCTGCGTTTTTAAACTATACATTTAAAAGAAGAGTTGAAAGAATCGTACTGATAAAAGAGATTTTAACGGTATGAATAAGAGTATGATGTAATTATTTATTTATTTATTCACTGATTTATTTATTTATTTAAGTCCTTGGTTTGAGCTGCATCTCCTGGGTTTTCCTCCTTCTTTGCCAGGTTTTACTTCCTCTTCGGTTTGATCCCGCCCTCTCCAAGTCTTTATTCCATTCTCACCCGGTTCTGTTTCGGGTCGTGCCGTTCTCTTTCTTTGGCTGATACTGTTATAGGATGTTACTGAGAGCATTAATAAAAGATATGTGAAGAACAGGATGTATTATGTATGCAGATTTTTGTTCCTCTCCAAAGAGCCACGTTAACATGAGGGGGCAGTAATTCACTTTATTGAACTTTGCCTGACTTTGGGTCTAATAACAGATTGGAAGATAAATCCACACATTGCATGCACACTTACTCCCTTTTAAAAACTCTTCACTTTCCTTTCAGGATGTAGCTGCTTTCACGCCTTTCAAGCACAGAAATATTTTCATTGTCAAATTCAATTAGTGCCCCCCCTTGTTCTGTTTATCAGTACAGGGACTTTGAATAGTATTTCTAGTTAAATCTTCCCTAATTACGCGCAGATGCTTTTAAATCTAAATGAATCATTTATATTAGTCCTCCCCCCCATATCCCACAGTAAAACTTGTAGACATTCTCATCAATTAATCATCAGTGCTTAAATATATAATCCTCAGGCCCTTTGGGGTTCGTACAGGGAGTTGCAGTCTGAACATGAATGAATGATGTTTACGCTGATTATGGAAACGTTTCCAATGGTGATGTTTAATTCTCAAACAGAGCAGCACATTAGGCTAATAAGTCTTACCTGCCTTCAAGTCAAGGGAGAGCAATACAATTTCGGGGCCAAATTCTCACCAATAGTGACTTCCCTCTAGAATTTTCCCTCTCAAAACTCTCCAGAAAAAACACTGAACGTCTGGCACTGGCATTGTACTGTCTCTGCAGAATTCAGTAGCAGATCAGCCCCAAGGAATATGAGTCATGCAATTACATCACTCTGTTTTATTCCCTCCTAATTACAATCCAAGTTTACTGGCAATCAAGTCCACAAATGATTGTCAAAAATGAAAAGTAAACAGCGAAAGACATCTCAAACATGATCAAAAGCTTTGCCCCTCTCTCAAAATTCTCTCAGCTGTATGCTGAATGTGGCTTGTTGATGGGGGTTTTGCTAATAGGCAGTGGTGACATATTTAAGCAAAGCCAGAAAAGGGGCTTCTTTCAGGCTCCATTGCCCCCAAAACCAAGAACGTTACGTAAAGAAAAATACAAAACATGCGCTCACTTCATATCCTTGTTTGACTTTCTTCATATCTGTGCCCCTCTGTGCACATGGTTGGACCACAGATGACTGAGCGCACACAGAGGCAGACAAAAGCCAGCGTTATATGTGAAAAATGCAGTCATCACTTATTTATATATGAGGAGGATCCTGCTGTTTTATTTATAAAGTCTTTTAAATATAGCTCATGTGAACGTAATAAGTAATTCAGAGTGGATGTCTCAGCTCACCTCCTTGTCCTACAGCACTTACTCATATAGGTGTCAGGGAAAATGGAGCTCTGTTCTTTAAATGGAGAGCCATTTTAAACCTGAGCCTAAAAATTAATCTAATTCAAATTCAAAGTCTTTCTATTAGCATTAGGAGTAGCACGCGGGACTACCTGAAAAATTTCAGACACTTCATAATGCATTTTCCGTTGCAACCATGAATGAATAAATACATCAATGCATAGCTGTTTAAAATCTGACATATCTAATTTAGCACAAAAGACATCCATCTCTGGATCACCTTAAGGCTTAAGTCTATTAGCATTGCTTATTTTACTGAAAACCCCAGTGACGGACATTCTGCTTCCTCTATGTTTCCTTCCATTCACTTGTGTTGGTGCTAAGATTTGCCCTAATTACTGATATGAATGGAGTCTACAGCTTTCCTGCATGACTCACCATCCTCAGGGGCTTTGATAATAATGCAAATATTCTTTTCATCAGCGATGCTGCTTCAACACAAAAATGAGGGTGATCCTACTTAGAGTTTTTTAAAATTATTTATTCAGTGGCCAGTCATCCACTGTAATGCGCAAGTCAAAGTGATGATCAGATACCAATTGTACTACGTACTGAATTACTTTGGCACCTGATTAGCCTGTATCACACACTCATTTCAAATGTCAGCAACTGCCATTCTCCACACAGATTACTGCATTAAAGGATTTGATGCTAATGCCATCATGGCTCGCTATGCCTCTGAGCAGAATAGCTGAAAAGAAAAGGAGACAGCCACTTCTCCTAAACACAAGACTGAAGGCCTGCAATACACAGGCACAAAGCAAAGCCAACAACTGCACGAAAGACGCCTCTAACTTTGAAGTGACTGCATCACAAAGGCAGCAGTGTGTTAGCTTGAATGCTTATTTGCAGTATGTGACAGCTATAAAGTACAAAATATGGACCAACCAGATCAGCAAAGAGGAGTAACTTGTTACATGACCTAAATATTCTCCAATCAAAATGCTTGTACTTCTACTCAAGTACACTTTTAGCAAAAAGGGTTTTACATAGTACCAAAAAAGGTTCTACAGTAATAACAGACCCTTTTTTGGTGCTATATAGACCCTGCTTGAAAAAAAAATGGTCTAAACTGGCCTAGGCTGGTTTAGCTGGTCACCCAGCATGGTCATCACCCAGCATATTAGCACCCAAAACACAACATATACTGGTTGTGCTGGTGATCAGCTATGCTGGTCTGTGCTGGTTTTTCTAGACGGGGAAACATTTGTTAAAAGGTTCTTCATGCATTTAAATGGCTCTTCAAGTTGTCACTGCTCTATATATAATCATTACCTTAAAGTGCACTTGAAGAGCCAGTATTTATGCGTGTATATATGTGAGGAAACGTATCTGTTTTTTACTCAGTTACATTTTAGTCATTAACATGTAAAGGCTAGTCTGTTTTTATTTCATTGTTACATTGGTTACTGCATCTATACTCTTGCAAGTGGTAAATAATAACTTTTGAGGTTATCATTTTATTTATGTTTTAAACCAAACCAAACATTTTATTTATGTTTTAAACCAAAAAACATTTAAGCATTTCTGAAGGTGCATGTAAAATGCATCCCTCATAATTGTAAAAAAAAATCTTTAAAAACACTCAAGGCAACTGAAAATTCAGCAGTGAGAACTAATAGGACTAGAAATAGCCTAGTTACTTACACAAAAAAGGGACTTGTCTCATTTGAACTTGGCTGCAATTTAGACATCTTACTACAAGCATCAATTTTCTTGAACTGAAGAATACCCATAGGGGTCTGTCAGATTAAGGAAATAATATGGAGGAGGCTGAAGAGTCACTACCATGGCATCAAGGCGATGGGCTGGCACTTAATACTGTGTTTTTATGCAGTAACACTGCCTCCAAGTGGATTCTTTTTGCTATTGCAATAGTTTAAAGGCAGTGTCTATACACCGTTGTGACGTCCTCAATATCTGGACATGGAATACTGCAAAAAAGGCAAATTCCACTTTGTTATGTCTATTCAAGTCACAAAAATAAAATAAAATAAAATTATTGCCTAGTGTTTGGTTCATACACTTCCCTAAATTCCAGCTGTTCAGGTGATGCAGTCACAGAAAGAGTCACCTGGATATTAAAACTACAGCAAGCCAACAGTCAAGGATGTCAGGAAGTGAACAAATATGCTAGATCCAGCTCATTCAGGAATGATTATCCAAGCTAGGTATGCTGGAACTAAACTTCACAAGGCTCTATTTTGTGGTACATGCCATCAATCTCATCAGCAAAGTACCAGTGTGGCTGCATGTTTTAATTCCATTCCTGAAGGAGCACATACAACTGACAAGTTATTTGATGACTGAAGCCAATTGATGAAACAAGTGGAATCAGACTACTAGAGCAGAGGTTCTCAACAGCAAGGAAAATAATGTGCTAGAGCACGGAACAAGCTAAAATGTGCAGTAACAGGACGCTCCAGGAGCAGGATAAAGAAGCACTGCTCTGAGACACTGAAGGAAAGCATTGTGGACATGATGACGATTAACACGCTGGATCATGAAGTCCTACTTTAATACACAGACATAGAAAAACAAGAAGCAGCAAACTCTCACACAAGGAGCCACAAAGCTTAATGCTTTGTTGCATTATCAATAATACATTTAATGCTTTTAGCCTTTAGATGTTGTGTAGCTGGATTTGGAAAATGGAGCCTGTAACCTTCAGGAATTAATGGCTATAAGATAAAAGTGGCTGAAACTATCTTTATAAATCTGTTTACAGCTTTAATTGCCTTAAGGCTTAAATCTCAGTTCCAGTCTCCTTTAATTTGTAATAGCCCTATTTCTGTGGTCTGATTAACAATAATGGGCTGAACTACTGGTATGTTAGGACAAACTGCTCAGTCTACATTTTCACTCTATCCCACCTTCAGACACACCTGAACTAAGTGCTTAAAAGAATGGTCTGCAGATTGTATTGTGTGGCTACTTCACACACATTGTTTTAATGTGCTATTTTGTGTGTTAAGTGGAGATTTAACAAATGATAGTGACCATCAGGCTCAAGATGGTTTCATTCAGTGAAAGAAATCCTTCAGTGGCCAATTTACTCCAGCATTAAGCCCAAGAAGACAATGGATGAATCTCAAATAGCTTTTACTTTTAATGTGAGTTAATATAAGCAGATTTTATTCCCAGTGATTTGGGAGCATTCGTGTTGGTCCATTCATCATGAAATTTTCACACAATGTTTACAAATTACATAGAACAAAAACAGAGATACATGTTTTTCACTGGACAGTGACAATGTACTGCCATCCAGGCGACATCTTTTCAGGAAAGGCTTTGCTTGTTTCAGCAGGACAATGCCAGACCACATTCCACATGTATTAAAACAACGAGGCTCCGTAGTAAAAGAGTCCGGGGGTCGAGTCCTGGTCTGCCTGCAGTCCAGAATGGGCATATATTTTTTAAAAACAATAAAATTTCTCAGTTTTAACATTTGATATGTTGTATTTGTATTATTTTCGATTAAATATGGGGTTTGGATATAGGTTTGCATTTTGTTTTTGGGTACATTTTGCACAGCGTCCCAACTTTTTAGGAAACGGGGTTGTAATAACGAAAGAATTAAAAATCACATTTTTTGCTGATACCATTTGAGAAAGAAGAAAGTGAAGGAAAGAGAGGGTGTGACTATTTAGCATTATGATCCCTCTTTTGACCAGAGA